TCCTTTATTTATTACGTATGCGGACGGGTCCCGCAGAGCGTTAATTTGCCATGCGGCAGACGACGCACGTCTATTACGTATGGAGATACTCAAACTATATTATCCATATTGTTATTGAAGTAACAATATAATGTATACATATAGGCATATAGTCATATACGTATACGCAGTGCGATGGTTGGTAAAAAATTGATAATAAACAAAATTAAAAAAAAACTGATCTCAATGCACTCGTTTCTATAATTTTTTTTTACATCCCGTTACTATCGAAACTCGTTTAAGTTTAAAAGAATAGTGCAGATATTATAATAACGAATATGTTTGAAATCCGAAACACATTTATGTAAGGTATTATAGTTTTGGAAACAATCAGTTGACCTATACCTACATACTTCTAAAAGTTTATTCATTTATAAAAATTATTTTTGTTTGAATGATCCAGAACATAAATAAAAAAATTAAATTAAACATTTCGCAATCAATTTAAATTATTTACCAAATAAATTTAAATACCTACAAATTTCATTACTCGCATGTTATATACGAGTTACTTACATGTTGTACTATAGTTATTATAAATTATATAAATATATAATTTTACAGTGTGGCAATAAATATTTGGAAAGAAAAACATCGATTCTTTCTTAATATGCAATTGGGTATTCTTATGCTCGTTAAGCTACTTTCGGGAACGTACAAACAAAATGTGGGCATAAGAGATTTGTAAATACGTAAATATCGTGTATACTGTATAGTGTAAAAAACAAAATCGTATAGGTATAACAAAATTGTTTGATGTTAAAATAATAGTATATTACAAAATAGAACGTCTTCAAATTTGTCTTACTTTATGTCTTATTATCATAGAATTTTAATCATATAAATTATAAATACTTCTTAGGACTGCTTCAGACATTTATCATTACTTATATTTAATTAAAAATTTAAAATGTTTGCATTTATGATATAAGTATAAGGTCAATTTTAGTTCAAGTATTTATTCCTCTTCGAAATGTCATCAACTCTATAATGTTATAAACTTTTGTAACTTTAGTTCGTGATTTTTGAAATTCCTTACTATGTATATTTAATTACAATTTACAAGGCTATACTGGATTGATCTTCATCAACTATATAAATTATTATAAACCAATATCAAACAATTTGAAACATTGAAACTGTTATATATTATTAAAATATTGAATTACCTTGTATACCCTATACTGGCCTACTTCCTATGTAGAATTATTTATTATTATAAACTTAACACTTATAATTTTAAAATTTTTAGTTTTTGAATATTGTGTTTGATATAATTGATAAATGGCCATAAATGTAGACGCATACAAGATAACACCTAAATTTATACAGGTATAATATTCGAAGTATAATGTTTAACAGCATACTCCGTCATCTATGGACCATGGTAACTATAGCAAATAGATAGAATAATTGGGGAGCTGACCTTTATAGGTTAGAGTTGTTATACGTTTCTATTTTGTCGGGATTGACATTGTACCAGTTTAGAATAGTAATTAGTAGAGCGAACTTCATGCTGAAATGTTGGCTTTTACTAAACATTTATAGAAGAATAACAATATTATTGTTTTAAAAAATAGAAAAATAAATAAGTTGGTTACTTGATTGAATAACGAACTCTATTTTAAAATTATTTTTACAGTTTACGTCATTATTTTACGGTATTTTGGTATTCCCGTGAATGTTACTCGCAGTATATGATCGTTCCTTGAATTTACGGGAGTGCCAACCCTTTCGTGAATTACAATTTTTATCAGTAAATTATGAAATGTGACCAAGTTTTATGTATAAGGTCGGGCCACTGGCTAGGCATTTTCAAGTAGAGACGTAGAGTCATGGCCCTACCTGCCCCGCCCATACTCACCGATATCTATAATTTAATTTCAGTAACAAACATTACAACTAGGTAGTATAAAATATTTATTTAAAATTACCACATCTATGAAATTCAGAAAGACATGAAAATTTACATCCATAATATTCATCCATATTATTTAACTATCTCTTATTATATATTGTGAATTCAATGACGTACTTATATATGTTGAGAGTTGTCCTAATTAATTCATGCCAATGAATGACCACTACAGCAATAATTGTATATGTAATATATAAATTTGAAATGTGATTGCAAATAGTAATTCAAACTCCAATCGTCATATAAGAAAATAATTGCATGGATAAAAACTATAAAATTCATGAACTACTCCAAAGTTGCGCATTAGGTAACCTTAACCCAATATTAATATTAGAAAATATACAAGCCTTCTTTCAATTGTTTTAATACACCTAGGTACGTTTTAATTGAGATTTTGCCAAAAACTGAAAAATGTAAATCCTTGTCTGTCGTCGACATGCTCATTCTAGCGTTTAATTTGTATAACTGTATAAGACTTGTATACTGTCAGTATTAAAAAAAAATTGTATATTACATCTTTCTTTATTTATAGTAAACACTACGAGTACGGTGCGGAAATAGTTAAATAGATAATAGAATACCGTCAAATTATATGCTCTATTGGAAATTGACATCCAATTACAATTATGTAATACAGATAAATGTTGGTTTATGTAACAAAAAATAAGTTATATTTTTGGATGTTTTGGTTATTGGTGTGCTACGGCCTACGATCACAGCAGCAGGGTACAGCGGTACGCTACATTGTTTACTCAGATTTTCGCGCATTTCATACAAAAAAAAACAAAAATAGTGGACCATCTGAATGTATATTGTACATTGTACATTTCGATTCTAAGCAAAGTGATAGAAATATATTGGTCTTACAATGATGTATGATCTATTCACTATAGATTTATATGTTTTAAATGAACAATTGTTATGGTTAAAGCGAGGGTTAAAGCTTAAATCTTAAATCTTAATAACTGTTAATCAAATTTCAAATATATTTATCATAACCTAGTGACTTAATAAAAATGAAATCTTCAATTGTGTGAAATGTTCACACATGAAACTTTGAAATGTTGCTGACATATTATGGCATTATGTTTATTTGAACAAACAAAATATGCCACACAATTTATACATCAAATATTTACACTCAATACTCTTCAGTGATTAAAATTGGACTCAAATAATAATTCATCCGTTGATTGTTTGTATTTAACTGAAAACTTTGTTGGTATAAATGTATAATACATTTGTATTAAATATTGATATTTTATTTATATAATATGTATATTTATCTTACGTATACTTGGAAATTGAAAACATTATTTAGTTTTATACTTTATTCATACGAAATTAAGAATTTTAAAATATCAAATAATTTTCTAGTTCATAAATGTTTTGGTTGTAAACCAAGATTAATTAATTAAATTAATATAGCGAAAATCATTATTTATAAAATAAACTCGTGTGTACTATTTGATATTAATATTTTTAAAGTCAAGACATATTTATTTTAATTAACACATAATATGTAGGTACCAAACTTAATAATCTCTGTGAATTACTACAGAAATAAATGATTTAAATAAAATAAACTAATTTTTAAATCATATCTAAGAAGTTTAAGTTACCAAAATTAATTTTTGTATGTTACTTCAATTGTGGCTGCAAGTAGTAAAATCTGTGAAACGGTGACAAATTCAGATTTATTGATATAGCAGTTTATACAATTTAGTTTGCTTATTTTGTTATAATAATCAGTATGATGTTGAAATATTATTATGTTTATACAGCATTAGAACACGAGTCTTTATAAGATTAACAAAATTAATAATTCTGTAATGAATTCAAGTTGTTGATTCAAAATGTACATTCGCATGTATAGGTACTAGTGTTTTTTTTCAACGTATATTTTCATATCCTTGTATAAATGAACAGCCGAACAAAACGATACTAATATTTTAATGCAACTCAATAACTGTACATATTATTTATCTTTTAACATGTTTTTCTGATCCTCGCCAAGACAAAGCATAAGAGAAAATAAATATTTGTTGAAAGCCATCTCCCATTTGGCCCTTCCAGTTATACGATTATAATATTTTTGTAACGATATTTCTCTGATTAAATATTAAAACTTTATTGTTTCCCCCTTGGAAATCCCTAGTCACGCGTCTGCTTCTATATTTTCCATTTCATTTTTACAATTTGATGAGGAGATTTATCATTTTTTGTGTGTAGGATTACTCCAAGGAATCACGGTTTCCCAAAGGTCAGCGTTATTCCGTTAATTTTTTGCTGTTTCCGAAAGATGTGTTATTTCAGAACTTGTCCTTCGGCCTACTATTGCATAGTCCCTTCTCACTACTATCTTATCCATTCGTATTATTTTTACTAGCTTATCCATCGTGCGTAAAAGTTTGGGGTATTTCGCGTAAATCGCATTTACGACCGAATGTTTTGGACAACGTCCCGTGGGTTAAGTTGTAAAGCTCCTCGCTCCACTAGCGTGTTCCCTTGGCAATTCTCCGGGGACAATATCCCGAATTCCATTCCAGTTGACTGAGCATATGGGAAATTGTTGTGGGTAACATAAAAATCCAGTTTAATCGAAGGCGTATGAAAAAATGGTTCCATTAAAATAGTCATCGAATGAACGCATTTTATCGCAAACTATATAGTATCGTATACAATATGCAAATAGAAAAGCATTGTAAAATAATATTTACAAAATTTATCTCAAACTAAAACGTCAAGGACAAAAAATGAAAAATATAATGGGTGTATTTAATATATTAAAAGGCTCATTAAAATTCCCCTATAAGTTCAGTGAATAAAGAAATTTATCGCCCGAGGGACACAACAACATATGATTTTTATAGTTTATGAAAAGTTTTGCTGATTATTTTTTTTTTCACTGAAATAATACAATTATATAATAAATCTCTCTACGGCTTTTAATTATAAAAATACACCTAAGAATTAGCCCATCTCTCGATTTTACTCAAAGGTAAAGCATTAAAAGTTTTTATTTTTATTTTTTTATTCATAGATCTATTTGGCAAGATTTAATAAAAAGAAACCAACATGGGATGCTTTTGTACCAGTACCCGAACACATCACTGCAAAATCGTGTTCCTCGACGATCAAGAACTCGTGCACGAAGTTCAGGTAAAGAAAATATATTTTATTAAATACCGTTGTTGGGTATTCGTTATTAATATAATTTATAGTATAATAAGATAAGATTATGATACACAATATTATGTAGAGATTTGAACATCGGTAGGTACAGTAATTGTTATAGCTGTAATTAACAAATCATATAATATTATGATCATTCGTTCAAATATATTACAAAATGTTAAAAGGCTTTTAAAAATCAACTGAGTGTATTACGTCCTTTGAAATTCATTATAATACGTATGGTAGTTAATTACAATAAATATTGTAAATCGATCTTTCTAAAGTATATTTTATACTTAATAATATAGCTCTTTACGATATAGTGAATATTTTCAAATCATTAGATTAAAGTTGATACTACGTATGAAAATTGTTTATTATTTATAAAATTATACAAACATTGTATATACGTACATTGAAAATATTAATATAAAATATTGGTTTAAATCCTTCCTGACGGTAGTATAAATCACTGGTGATGAAAAATTTTAATTTAAGGCACTAAAGTTGTAATTGGTTTTATATTTTTACAAACAATGCAAATGAAGCATTCTAAGAGTGTTTTCTAAGCATTCTGTGTTTCTTAATTTCTTATTATTACTACTCGTAGAAAGTATCACAATTCACAATATAATAAACCCAACACAGTTATCATTAAATTGAGTGAGTAGGATTATTATAGTGACTTGAATGTTCTAAATACCTACCAAAGGTATAATTTATGAACGAACCTAAATGATTTAAATTGTTTTTGTGTTTAGTAAAATATCTTAAATGTATATCAGTATTATTTACTTCTTATATAAAATGTAGGGTATTATTATTTTTGTTAAAATAATATTGAAACAACAATTATATAGGTTCTACTTAATAATTACAATATTTATCATTTGACATTTGAAAGTTGATTTTAGTACGACTTTTTTTTAAAGAGTGTTGAAAAAAATAAGTAACAAATAATTAATGGGTCCACCATCGTGCCTAATCAAACGTTTTCATATATTTTCATATCATAGTTTATAGACATGCAATGTAAAATTACTAGGCGTGATTATATGAAATAAGCACCGTCGCCGGTGAAAAGAATCGAGAAAGAACTCTAAATTAATTTATCCTCTTCAATAATACATTTTTAATTTAATATTGAAATCAAAATAATTTTTATTCCAAAAAAAAAATAGTAATCCTTTCATGAATAGTATAATTATGTATTATATGCTTATTACCATTTGTTTTTACTTTCTTGAATGAATTTTTGTTGTTCAAAAATCATTCTTACAAAAACCAATTTATTTAATGCTATCAATAATAGTAAAACATGCCCATTATTGTAACTATATGGTTTTAAAATATTTTAAAACATCTTCTACCTAGTTTTTTTTTATAAATTTATTTGATGTCATTAAATCAGTAAATAATTATTATAATTAAATATTTCGACATTTCTATGTTAATTTTGTACTCAAATTATCGAATGAAAATGTTCTAAAATCTGTTATACGTTTATATACTCTGAAATTCACAAACCATTTAATACTTTATATCTTGCTACACTACTACGGTTTTGAAGTTAGTGTCAATGTGATCTACACATTTTTGGCTTGATTCCCAATCACCCTAAAATAATACATCATAATTTATTATTAACCAAACTTCACAATATTTCTCTTGTTTCCCCATGATCCGATTAAGTTCAAATTTGCAATTTGTGTTGGCCTATAATGAAATGGTAAATGATTAATTAAGAACACTGACGAAAGTTTATATTTCCCTGGGGATTTTTTTCTGCAGCTATATATGCAAGTTTTTAGGCGCGAAAGTCATGCTCTTATATTTTCTTAATCCTGTTCCCCCCTCGTTCTACTCACTCCGAGTGTCGATTAAAGTAATCTATATAATAACAGGCCCTAGGATTTAGTGTTACAATACCGGAAATCAGAGTAAAATTGTATTTACGTATTTTTACGATAAAGTATATATTATAGTAAGGATAGGTATCTAATTAAACGGGCCCAGGTTTGTTGACGAGACATCAAACTCTAAAGTACCTATGACATAATATATGTTTTATGCTTGTAATGTTATATTTCGAACAGTTAATTAATGTGGTTCTTTCTGGTTTAATTAAATGTAGAAAGATAGAAATGGGTAGACTTATTTATATAATATATATAGAAATATACATGAGATAGGGTATCGTGTACCGTAATAATTGAGCAGCAGTAATAAAAATTACTTCATAATCGTTAAAACAATCTCTATCAAATTAATTTTATCTTATGCCTACCGCTATTTAATTTTGTTTTTAGATTTTCCCTTTGTGTAGTCTCCATTGTATACATTTTTAGTTAACATATTATATGTTAATTAAATTCGTCCAATACTTATTTCCATTAAATTACAGTTGAAATGATACCCATACGTTTTTCTATGTACGTCGGTTTTAAAATGGTGTTACGTCTCACATAGTTACATGTTACCTTGTCAGTTGTTCCTTTTATTGTCTATTCAATCAAAAACCATATAATTGTATAGTTATACGCATCTGTTGAATATGGTTGAATTGATAATTGAATAATGCATATCATATTTTTATGTTGAATGGTTATCATTGTAACCAAAATAATAGAAATGGTTTTTATTGTTTTAGGATGTAAAGGTTATCTATATATATATATTAAAATAATAATAGGTACTACATGTCTTGAAAAAATTCTCGTCGAAAACAGCAAAATAATATTCTAACTATCTACTTAGGTACATATTTTAAGGTTCTATTTCTTAATAAAATATAGTTTTCTTGAATTCTATTTAACCTACAATGTTTAATTATTATTGAACAATTCATATAAATATCATACTAGTAGAAATAATACACATAGACTTACTGAAATTAATCTTTTACTGCTAGAAGAAATAATATTGGTATTATTATATATAGTTATTATTTATAACTTTACTAGTAACGTATTTATTTTATAAACTTATATACTATTATGGAGAAACATTTTATTAAACATTATGATCATGTCATCATAAGTAAATTATTACTGTATTATTTTATCCGAATAAAAATATGAAAACAACTATGAATAACAAAACAAAAATTGTTTTCGCTTTACACGGAGTCGTGGTCGTATCGTGAATCGTTTAGAGTATTATATTAAACGTACGTGTTTGAGTGTTAGACTGAGCTATTACTTATTAGTTATTATATGTAGTGTATGTAAAATATATAGTTTTTGTTTTTCATTTTTTGAAAGGATGAGGCTTGCGGGAGTTTTAGATTAAAGTAACGAACTATTAGATTTTACGACAGCAGTAGTGGTTGCGACCAAAACACATTTTATACTCGACACCGAAATTCGTTCTTCTGCGAGATATAGGGAATGACGGCAAGAAAATATTTATTTTATTGCCATCCACGATTGGCCAGCAACAACTGCTTCTACGTTATAGAGATATAGACATATAGTACACATAGTATTATTAAATTATTATGCTTTTGGAATGTTCATGTCTTCTGTCTTTTTTTCACGTAGTTCTATTGCTGCTGCAGCCTTTCTTTATGTCACTTTCTATTCTCATTCAACAATAATTATTCCCTACACATTTCCGTGTAAATATAAATATCATTGTAAAATATGTTTATTGTATTTGGAACAAACTTGGTCCAAGTTTTGCTCGGCTTTATGTCGCACGGGTCAGTCCAATCTTAACATTTTCGATAAATGGTCAACAACGGCAAACAATTTGGACGGTGTTTTACTCAGTTCTCTGTTCTACGTTTTTTTTACAAAACCGAATAATTTTTATATCGGTTTCCGTTACAGTTAGTGTTTACTAATTATCATGTTATAAATATACGTGGTTTAAATTATAATTTATCGCTATTGTTTTTTAACGTTGCCAGTCGTTTAATGTGCGCTATTGCTGGTTAGATCACGAAAACTTGAATCATTGATTATTTTAAATAGTTTATGTTGATAATTGGTAGTTTTATAGTAATATTAGTTAATGTATAGTATAAAATAAAGTTTGAACTAATTTAACTTTCATAATGATATCTAATGACTTAATTATTTTATATTATTACATATTTCATATTGAAAATTTGCTCTGCTGTGCTATTTGTTTCGAGTGTACCTCATAATATTTTAGTACCTAGTTCACTTTAATGGATGTATTAAATTTTAATTCAACGAACAATTGTTGAATTCGAAAAACGATTTTGAGCACAGGCCGTCTTCCTTATAAACTTCTGTCTTATGATGCTTTGAATATTACATTGTATTTTCAATATCAATTTAATTTTTGTAATTTATATTTACATTTTAAAATTGGTAGGTTGACTAATTTCCGTGAAAAACAAATCATATTTGTCATATAGTAATTATTTTAATATTACAAGCTGTTATAACTTATAACGTCTTATAAGTCGATAAGTAAAAATATAAGTGGCTCTATGCTAAACTTTTTTATTAATTTACAGTATAACAAACTTATGACGATTCTTGTATTACATTTTTTAGCTTGAGGTATGAAAATCAAAATGTTGCACATACTCGTATTTTCGTGATTCTGTCGAATTCTTGAATGTTGAAACATTTTTTAATTACCTTTACAAAGTGTCTAAACAGTAAACACACAAATAAAAAACACACCATTGTAAAACCAATACATTCCTCGATCACCTCAGAATTTCAAATCATTCACAAAGTCTAAATTGATTAACATTTAAAATACACCAAGGTGTAATTTAATAACGTCTATACCTATTAAAAAAAATGTATTTTATGTTTTCATATTAATATGACCATATTTTTTCTGATATAATTATTTTAAAACAGTCATTATTATAATTTTTGGTTGTACCTATAATTTCAAAGATTTAATTCAAAATTGTCCATACAGTTAAGACCACGGTATTAAATATTTTATAGATAACATATTAGAACTGTTATTACTTATTATATGAAGTCTTG